CCGGGCGGTTACTACATTTGTACATTATACAAGATTGTCTCTAATTGCTCCGTTCATTGTCCCATGTCCTTTGTAACCACCCCAGGGCCAGTTTACCCAACTCAGACCCATTTAGGGTAATCAAATACATCTAATTCATCTACAAGAGCAACCGTATCAGAAACCCTTTGGCGTGAATTGCGCGAGAAGTTGATGATATGTGGCTGGCGGTGGTTGCAATGCAATCTCAAATTTAACCTGCATCGCAGATGGTATAGAAGACTCAAGGCATATTCGTTGCGGCGACAAAGGGTGTGGGACAAAGGAGCAGCTGACGCGCGACCATGTTGACTGCCATGCAGACAACCGCCCAGTCTTTGAGCAGTGCTTGACCTATCCAAGAGCCATCCTGTGAGTGGACGGGGACAACCCAGCTATGCGGGACGGTGGCCAGGAAGATGTTTCGGTAGGAAACGCATGTATGATTGCCTTCCCGTCACTATGTAGTGATATAGTGTATACACCCAGTCCTTCGGTATAATGATATAGTGTATACACCCAGTACTTCAAGACCACAGTAGCACTCTCGGAGATTGTTGCGGTGGCAGGTACCATGTGCGCAGTCAATCCCTGTGATCTGTCCCGACAATCTACTTTCTTCTTTCGCGATAGTTTTGTTTGTTCCCGCGCAGGCCAGCGACCACAGCCTCATTCCAAATGCCTTTCGGTTCCTTTAGCACCTCCAAACTTACTTCCCTCCCACAGCTGCAGCGCACCCTGGAGCCCTCGTGATTGCAAATTTGGTCGAGTGCGGTATTTTCGATCCGCCTGCAGATTGAAATCATCACCTGTGCAGATGGCAATCTTGATAGATGCCACAACCAAGGTCGAAATCGACCAGTGTGTGATGCAGAACACCATTCTGCTGCATTTCCTCTTAAACAGGAACCCCCAGAGATACAGCCAGGACAGTGGCGGTGGATGTCGAATTTTCTTTGCGCACTATGCGCCACAAGTGACGCCATTTTGGCGCCGCAAGTGACGCCATTTTGGCGCCGCGCTTGGCTGCGCACTGAAGACCTTGACACTTTTGGGAGAATTGGCGAGCTGATAGGATTTGCAACGTTCTCGTGTGGGCCTATTTTGCTCCATCGCCATTGTGTTCTTGGACAGTGTGCTTCAGACTCACTAGGCTGTACATGGAATAGCCAGACACACAGATATCCAATATTACCATAAAGTGGTGCTGGGCAAACCCATGACTGCCGTTGTTGATATGGTGACCTCTCCTTGTAGGGAATGACATATTTTGAAAATTGTAATTTACCAGTCACAAGTCCTTGCAGTTGATCCAGCGATTAACGTGGGTGGCATGACGAATTCCCGGATTAATGCATGTACCACCTAAAAATGGCGCCAGCGCGGTGTGCAGTATTGGAGTGTCTTAGTTATTGGGAGCTCCAGGGACCACCTGGAATTCCTAGCAGCCAACACACTCCAATGCTGCTGGAATTTGGTACTGCCGGAGGTCATTGCTGCCGTATTGCTGAAGATTATTCCGTTGCGTTCTATGGCGATTCCCAAACCCAGACTAAGCGAAAGCCACGAGGGCCAATGGTGCACGACGTGCACAGCAGTGCAGGGAGGTTTTCTGAGCACTGTCAGAAAAAAAGGACCAAATAACACTTTTTGTGAACACATTTGGAATGCGTTTAACAACGCTCTGCATGCTAAGAACACAAAAATAACCCAAACCCGTCAACTTTGTACACGTTTGAACACGTGTTATTTGGCCCTTTCTTTCGTAGTGGAGAGATACCTTCAAATATGTGTCCATCCAGCACTCCCCCCCAAAAATGCACTGACCCAAAGCCTTCCACGACCATAAACAATGATCACTTAGAAAATAACAACTCTTGCGACACACCCAAGTCTAAGGTCACTAGGAAAAAACAGGCCATATGACACATTCCTGACACGGTTTGCTCAAAATCCAACCGTGTACTTTCGGCAAATGTGGTCCCAAAAGTGCACATTCAATACACACATTGGCACTGTTTCAACCGTGTACCCTTACACAACTGTGTATACTACACGTTTTCCTATGATGCACGGTTGAAACTGTGTCAATGTGTGTATTAACTGTGTACTTTTAGGACCACATTTGCCGAAAGTACACGGTTGGATTTTGAGCAAACCGTGTCAGGACTGTGTCATATGGCGAGTTTTTTATTAGTGGATTGGGACACTGAAGCGGGCATGCAAGCGTCAGCAAAGGCAATGGAATCTTCAAGAAGGGAATGCAGACGTGCGTTTTATGTTCCACCGGCGTTTGCACCCGAACGGAATTCAAACGTGAAAGCACGTGCATCTTTTTTTTTGGTGCCAACACTCCCCCGGGAAGCGTACTATTCGTTGCGAACTTTCTCAACGCGCACATTAAAAGCAACCTGTTGCACTGCAAAACAATCAGTCACTTATAAATGCGAAGAAGCGCCCTGGAAGGGCCAATAACGTGAGCGAACTGCATACGTACCCACTATGAGCAGCCACCAAACGGTGCCTTGCCAACCGCACATTTGGCCAACTGTCGCACCTGTGTGGGGGGAAGGGCCACTGTGGGCAAAGTGGGCGGAGTGCAAGGCCTCTAAGTTGTGTAAGGGCTTTCACGACATCATTAGTGGTACTTACCAATAAATCTTTGCACCCACCTTGCCTGAAAAGGTGTTTCTATTGTACTGACGGTCCCATTTCTGGCAGCCCCGCCGGCCTCATTCACGGCTCCTTGCCCTAAGCTCTGACGCGGGATTTGGCGGATAATGTCAATCCAAACTGCCGCACAGCATACTCAATATTCTTGATAAAAAAACCTGACGGTCTTCGTAACTTGGCGATGTTTGATCCAGTTTCGTGCTCAAAACCCACTACACCGGCTGCCTGACAAGCCAACACGATACGCCAATCCAATTTGCCAGCAACGCTGACAGCCGCGCGTCCTTTCCACACCACCAGAAACTGACATGGCGGCCTTTTTCAGACCACCAAAATCCAATTCCCCTCCTGGGCGTGAGGGGAAAAAACCCGGGAAAAAACGGCATAAAAATGGAAGGAACGGAAAGAAGGAAAACAACAAAAACATTGGAAAACGGAAAAACAGAAAAAAGGCAAAACGGAAAAAAAGGCAGGAAGAAACAAAAACGCACCCCCAGTGCCCATAAACCTGGCACCAACGGCAGTCCCATGTCCTCCACGCTCCACCCCTGAGGCTCTCCCGAGGCCGCCGCAGACTGCAGACCGTCCCGCGGACGCCCGCCGCCAGCTGATGCGCCTCCACTACGCCCACCGCCTGCTCGCTGCCCTCCGGCCATCGGCGTTCTCGATTCCCCGCCGATCCCTGGCATCCCCCGCCGGCGCCAAGAACAAAAAGAATCCGCGGGCGCGTGGGGAGGCCGACGGCGGGGTGACGGGGGGCCTGTCGGATGCCCGTATCCAAAAACTGCTGAAAATGTTTGAGCCCCGGGAGGTCGAGCCCGTGGTGATGAGCGAGGAGGAGGCCGCCGATGCGGCCAGGCGTGCAAAGGAGTTCAGCAGGCGGAAGATGCGGCAGCACAGGGAGTGGCAGGCGGAGGTGGCAGCGCGGCGCAGGCTGGCGCATGAAGCGCTTCAGGCGCTGCCCGAGCGGCTGAGGGAGGCGGCGATGCAGCCCATGGGCCCGCCGCCGCCCAGGGTGCCCTTCCCCACGGACTCGCCGCCGCTGGAGTGGCGGGAGTGAGCTCGGATTTTTGACATGGATTGGGTAAGGTTTGTTACAAAATGGGGGGGAAACAGGGGTAAGATTTGTTACAAAGAGTTGCCCATCCCGCAAGAGTGCCTGAGACTTTTGCTGGGAAGAGCCCGCATCCCGGTATTTGGCTACACCGCGTGACGAAAAGGGCCCTGTGGGACTGAAGATGATGGCGGGCGTAGCGGCGTCAAAGTCGGTGTTCGATGGATTCCATTTGTGGATAGCGGCAATGGGAGTGGGGCGGCCGGGTGGGGGAGATCAACAGCCATTTTGTTTGCCGAAATGCGACAAAGGGCTGCCCTCGAAGTTTTTTCTGTCCTGTCTGCAGCACATGCATCGCGGTGGCAGGGAAGGGAGTTCTTGAGGGGAGTCTCGTTGTCAACCACATGCTTCAATGCATAGAGGCACATTGAAGCGACGTGGCTGTTTGTGAAGAGGGGTTGCTGCTGCGAGACCAGCACAACGCTTGTAACATAATATCGATGACGGCCTGAGGGCATTTCGATACCCGCATTGCAGCAGCCCTGAACACAAAGCCTGGTAATGGGGAACTGGCAATCACATAAACGTCAACAGCATGGCTGCGGCTTCATGTTGCCTCAGTCAACGTGTGCTGCAGCACAAATAAGGAACCCCCTCGCCGCCCATCTACCCAAATTGTTTTCAGCCCCTCCAACCTCTGCTGCAAGGCTCCAGGCATGTACTAACGCTGATGTTTCCATAATCCAATTGCAGGCTCGTCTGAGTCGGGCTGGATATTGTTCGTTCACTTCTTGCCGGTCTGCCTGCAGGCACCTGCGTGCCTCATTCGCCACACGATCGTTCTGATCACCGTGATGTACAAAAAATAAACAACACGCTCGTTTGGTATGCAGCACAGGCTGTGGGACACGATTCTGTTGACAGCAACCATGCCACGCACTGTGCGAACCCCCAACCCCAGCCACTAAACCGGAATTCTCGCAGAGATCCCAACTCCACTATTCAAGATAATGGAAATTTCTCCCAGAGTAGCAGCAATATTACTCAATGCAGAACGGCATGCATAGCAGCAAAGCACGCATTCCTGTGGGGCAAGCTGTGAGTGTGGCTGGCACTGCAAGGCTTTGTTGCAGCCCCCGCTGATCAATGCCCCAACAGGCGATTTTGGAATGGTTACTTAGATGCGTGTAGCCTTGCCAACTCATACCCCGCTATGGGTGCCATCAGATTACAATTTGGGATTTGAGAGCCGTCATCATCTCCGTCTCAACGTCGTTATGGTATCCTCTATCCATTCCTGTACCGATGGGGTCAGACGGGAATACACACCAGGAATTCCAAGGGTGCCGCACTCGATTCCGGGTGCCTTGGTGGAGGCCACTCCGACCAGGACGTCGTCTTCGGGATCAGAGGTGTTCAATTTCAGCAATGGCCCACCATCGTCCCCTGCACGATGGCCAACAGCGGCACTGCTCAGGTTGAACAGCTTTGTGTCCAGAAAGCTCACTAGAAAAAGTGAACATATATGCCCTATTTGAATCCAAAGTTCTTCATTGACAAGAAAAAGTTCCAAGATTTCCGTCTCGTTTTCAAACTCCACACTCAGATGAAAGAAAGAAGCAAACTGAGCTGCCTTTGTTAGAGACAGGTGGCTAGCCCAGTTGGTTGAGCAACACAATTATGGAATGCTGCGTTTCAGAGCAGTACTCTATTACAATGCTATGTGGGTTGCGCTCTTTGAGAACACATCTGGCTGTGCTCCACGGCCTCCTTGATTGTGCCAAAGGCGAATGACAGAGAAACTTTTCTTATAGACCCCTGTGTGAAAGGTCGATGTTCTGTAAACAGGTACTTGTGGCACATCTATGCCTGGGAGCAATGAGCATGCATCAAGCACATGTGGTGGGCTGATTTGCAACCCAAGCGGTGCCCTTAGATGGGACCTAGGAAGTCTGTCCAACCAGACATGGTGCATGCATTCACATGTTAAACAGGTGAAGAGGTTCGCACATCCTGTAAGCACTTCGTGGCAATTGGCCTGCACGTCTCAAGAAAACTGCCTGACTATCAGGGCAGAAAAATTACGCTTCACTGAAATCATTCACTGGTGAGGGAATGGGCAAAACAGCATTCTTCAACGAATTTTGGACCTTGGTGTTGATTGCCTTCGTGTTTCAGAGTTTGAAGCTGTGTCCGAAATTCGAACAATCCACGTGCAGACCCACTCCCTACATCACTTTGCAGGTTGTATTGCCGTGTTCTGTTGCTCTGAAACAATTGCAAGCAAAGGATCTTGACATAAATGAGCTTTGAACGTTCAAGCCCCTTCTCAGCAGCACGTGACCATGTGGAGACAAGCAGATGGGAACAGATGTCATGACTGCTCCAAACAGTCCGCAGCTAATTACGCAATGCATTGCCAATTGCACTATGGGACAAGCGCACCTGTACAGAAATCTTGCATTCCCGTGCCTGCACAGACCACGTGCTTGAGCGTGAAGCCCAATTCCTGGTCACAAGCAAAACACCACAGGTCAGCCAAAGGTCGCACAAAACCTGCAACCGCTCAGCCCTCCAACGGGGATCAGTGGATTCTTGCTGTCACAAAGCATCAAAAGTTCACCCTCAAGCTTCATTGACAAATTTCGTACTCAGAAAGGGAACACAGGTAGGTGCACACAAAGCCAGCTCTTTTCCAGCCAGCGCTTTTCCAGCCAGCTCTCAGCTCACCTTGTAAATGCTTGCACACTCGTCCACAGTGACATTCATGCCTGTGGCCTCCTGCAGGTTACCTGGAAACGCACTAGTGGCCACGAGGCGTCCCCATCCCAGCGTCGTTGCCTCCTCTCCCGGTTCGACGGTTCCAATTCGAACTGGCAACTTCTTGCTAGTGCCGCTCAGTCTGATGACTGCGACGTCGAAGCCGGTGCCAAACTTGCCAAAGTTCCTTTGCCACCTTGGGTGCACAGCCGCCCCGGCTGTCCCAAAAACCTGGGAGCAGCAGCAGCAGCAGCTGCTTTGATTGTGGCTAAGCCCTTTAATGCAGCACTGTATGGTGGCAGTTTGTGAAAGCTCTTTCTTGCAATCGTCAGTGGCAGTGCTTTATGGCTGTGCTTGGGCAGGAACTTGATGGCCAGGGCAGCGATGCTAGGCACCACTTTCCGGAACCGCCCCAAACGCTTGAAAGACACAACAATACTAACAATATTTTCCCTTTTGAAAACCAGCCTCAAATATGTATTGCATGTGCTTATGTGTGCTGCCGTGAATGTGTCACAAACAATATGAACACAATCCTGCATTCATTTGACCAATACAACAATGCCGATCGTAGTAATATTCTTGACTCAATCATTGCAAACTGGAGACATGGTCCGCCACCGCCGAAATCCGTCGGGAGTTGTGCGTAGTGGACCCCCTCTGCCATGGCCTGCTACCAGTAGTTGATTGCACACCAAGACAAAAATGGCCTTGTCCATTGTAGATCATGACATTCCTTTCTCGTTCACGAAAACATACCAACCCCACTGTGATTTTTCATCATTCCGCAGTATGGAAAAGAATCTCACAAACACTTGCTCAGGATGGGATACCCTTGAAAATCGTGCTTTCTGTCATGTAACAATCTTACCCACCTCCACATTACTAGGGTCCGGGGCGCTGAACAAGGTGTTCAGCTCCCTCTGGTATCCTCCTATGTACAGCGTGGGCGCCGGCTCTGCCACCAAAGACTGGCTCACATCTAGGCAGTGTGCTGCTGTGAGCACCATGTCCTCAGCGATGAGTGTGCCACCACAGTAGTGCGCACGGGTGGCCCGCCGCCTCAGGGAGACGATGTAGGGGTAGCGGCCTGGCTTTGCTGTCGTGCCACCAGAAATGAGACCTGTCGCGCCAAAGTCGCCTGCAGATGGGTTGCCCCAGAAACGTTCAAAGCCTTGGGTTATGCATTGGAATGTAAGGGCACTATATGAAATGTCATGTACTGGATGAAATTAGGAATGACAAAGGTAGTAGTGCAATGAAAGCAACAGTGCTAATGATGACAAACACAAATGGCTATTATTCCTCTGTCGACAGGCTGTCCCAAACACGTTCAGATTTGGGCGTCTCCACAGCAAAGAGGCAAAAAAGAGACTAAAGGATGCTGTGAGGCAGCAGATGTTCAATACAGAGCCCTACTCTCAGGCCAAGCTGAGCCACATTTGGCTGAGGGACCAAACCAGTGCCAACTCTGTGCAGCTTCGTACAAAAAATAGCAGGCATATTAGCCATCATCATGGCTCCAGTTGCTTTCCTGGATGATATTGGCAACTCCCTAAGGCCTCTGGTCGCAGAAAGGTGCCACCTGTGTCAACATCCGCCAGTGCAATCTATGTGCCGGTACACAACTGCACCAGGTATTCACCCCTGAAAGGACCTGACAACTTATTAATATATGATGCCACACTCACAGGGAAATTTCTCCTCGGTGAATTCCAATAAATCGGACACCAGCTTCTCATCCTCCTCGCTGCACCCATTGGAACAGATGAGCCTTTTTGGCATGTTGCTGATCTCGGTGCCGCAATGGTCGTACCCAAAGATCAGCAGCAGATCAAGTACATCTGGGTCAGCATTCCTGGCCGCTACATGCACAGGGCTCTGCGAGTCCACCCAGGTCAACTCGTTCACAAGCTCACGCTGGCCGCTCAGGAGCAGGTCCTCCACCAGGGCAGCATCCCCATTGGTTGCTGCTGTGAAGATCGCATCGTCCACCTGGAAACAAGGGCAGCCATGAACAAACACACGAACGAGGGGAATCTGTGTGTCCAATTCCGTTGATGACGTAATTATCGCAACATGACAAGGCAAGACCTTTCACGCAGTGTTGGGGAAACAGCACAAGCAAAATGCGATGTTCCCAATGCAAATTTGTGTTCACAGATCGATTCCATGAGCAAATACTGTGACTCGACAAAGGCTACAGCACAAATGGACCGCCCCTGCAGTAGAGGGATATTCACTGGTGCCACAAGCAGAGCAAGTCATGCAAAGGGTGAAACTGCTCCAAGCAACATTGTCGGCCTCCTATTTCTCACTGTGAAAGATGTGATGTGGGCGCCTTGGGCTGCTACAAACGAACACAAAAAGCAAAAAGAGCTATTTGGGCTGCAAACATTCTTGTCTTTATTCATTATGTTAGGGTCTGTGTTGGTGGGGGCCCAAATTGTGCAGAAGGATTGTATATGGCGGTTATGGTGATCATCGACTCCATTGTGGACCACGACGAGTGTTGCCAAAGGTGCAGGCACACAGCAAGATTCCAGACCACTCTAGCACGGGCAGTGATGACAGACAGATGGTCATCGACGTGAATATTTGTGCCTCCCGGCACCTTGATTGCTTAGGGCAATGCATGGTTGTACAAGGAGAAAGAGAGTCTAAAGAATGGGTGCAGGCTGTTCTGGCATCCCCAATAGAGCATGGAATGATTGGTTGCCTAACACTTCTGCAGAACTGCCCCAATGTCATCTGTTTTCTGTGGGTGCACGAATGATTTCTGCCAGTAATGTAGAGTGTGGCACGATGACCCCTGTGCACACTCCATGGTGCCCCCTCAACCGTGGAAAGATTATGTCTTGGTAAATGCCAACTTTGGCCACACAGAAAAATTGGCACCCTGTACCTATAAAAGAGATAGCGCAGGCCATCTCCAGACCAGTGAGTGGATGGGGACGGTAAACCACAGCACATAAATGCGATGTGACTCGTTTTGTTGCAACATCGTTGGTTGGTTGCTCCCTGTGTTGAGGGCAGGCAAACACCAAGAGTGCCACTGCCCTGTCAATCAGTGGTTTTCAAGATAGTTGAGCACTCAGGGCTCACTCCTCTTTGCATGCCGTCAATTCTGGTTAATTTGAATGTTAAGAGCAATGATATGACAAGGGGTTCTGTGGCAAACGCGATAGAAGCTGCCCATCACACTGCCTACCAAGCACTGCCTCCTCTTTGCCCCCTCGAATTTGGTGGAGAATGTCCCCTCGTTGCACTCTGATGGGTCCACAACGTAGCAGAAAAATGAAGAAAGAGTGCCGTTGGTACAACCCAGTATATCAGTCTGCACCCCACCACTCACGCCATCCACTGCGCACGTGCAGGGGCCCTTATCCAGCTGCATAGCAGGCAGACAAACTGGTGAAAAATGGCAATTCTTGTTGACAACAGATTCGTTTGCACCATCTTATTCGTGTCTACATCCATTTTATTATCATATTTTCTGCTGCATGGAGCACACAATATCTTGTTATTGTATGGCAGAGAAACAAGCCTTCTAGTGATGCTTGTGGACAAATTCTAACAGATGCAATTCGCACAAACCGTTCTTGTGGTGCAATGGTCAATTACTGGCAGTGATGCTGCTAGGTCAGATTCTATACACAATCCTGTCTATCAGCGACAGCCAGGCCATGCTGGGGAGTCTTAGACCAGCCCCATTTACCGATCAGCACTCTCCATGAAGATGAAAACGCACATACACTTACGCAGTATCCAGGCACACTATTCATTCTCTACTTTCGAAAGCATGTCCCTGTACCTCAGCCCAGAAATTTGCATTAATCGATTTGGCGCAAGCCAGCCGCAGCTTGATGCCAGCTGTTGTCATAATGGTGGGTTTGCATGTTTCGAGTGGTGTGCCCGTGCTGTCATGAAGAGCTCAGCTATGCTCAGTGGAAGTTTCGCACTTGCAGGGACAGCTAAGATCAGGTCCAAGCGTCGCCGGCAGCATCGCCTCCTCTGTCCTCTAAACACTCCCACTGCTGACTTGACCCTTTGGACAAGCAATGCTAAGGCTACCAAAATGTCATTTATATCCTGCCATAGCACCTCCACCCAAAAAGGACCTGACTGGACAAATGCACCTGGTTTTTATTAATTCGAACATCGCTGCCTCCTTTGCACCGTCCTCTTTCCCAGAGTCCATTCTTATGTGGTTGTTCCACATTTCTTTATACCTCTTTGCTTGGGAACTTGCTCGCTCTGGTCTTGAGCTCTCAACCACAGCACCTTAAGCCGGAAGGAGGGGTCACACCACACGATCCCCAGGCCAAAGAACATCCCCAACACCACCCACTAAGGACAGCCAGCGCATCATGGCAGGCTGCCGCCAGTTGTACGCAAATCAAAACAAGGCGATACCAAGCCATCATAAGGAAACAGCAACTGACTGGGAGTGCTGTGCAGGACTCGTGAAGAAAATCCACAAATGACCTTTTATTGGCACAGAATTGGCCCCCCAACAGAAAGACAGACTCACTGCGGTCGATGTCCACCAACATCAAGGCTATACTCCAGTCACCCGTGGGAAGGCAGTTCATGCAAAACTTGCCAACGCTCTGCCCATGGACCACCTCAGCCACATGGACCCAAAGCTCCTGCACAAGGCCCACCTGTACAGTCCCTCCTAGCACAGCCCATGGAAAATGATATTCTTCTTGCAAGCGAGTTGTGTGACTGCAGAAAACCAACGAGCACGTAACAAGCAAGCAATGAAGCCACAACACTGCCCTTCGTCACCTGCAAAGTGCAGGGGCGCGCTTTGACCTTCGACTGCAATCCTTGCCATGAAGTCAAGCGCCTGGGGCGACCCCCCTCCCAAATAAGACAGGCCCACCGCCTCAGGGCCGGCCCCACACGGTGGCCACAGATTATCCCCACAACTCCAGAGGCTGACAAGCAAGTCCCTGGGTGTTGCCCCAGTCGATCTCCCCCCCCGCCTCCTTCCGAGGTGCCGACCAGCTGATCCGTGCCCTTTTCCTGTGCCCGGCCAGGGGCCCAAGCGCCTCCCGGACTTGGACCTGCCGTCGTCCCCCGAGTACGACAACTTCTAGGAGAGCCCCGCGAGCCGCTCTCCTGGCGCCCTCCCGTCACCCATTCACCCCCCTCCCCGCCGACCACACCACGCACGACCCCACTCCCGCCACCGACTTCGAAAATTTCCGCAAATCACCCCGTGGGACTCGGCCCAGAGGGCTCCACACACTCGACAGGAGCCCCACGAGGACACCGGCGCCCCCATCCATCCGCCACCCACCCGCCGAGGCAGCCATTCCCATCAGCCTCCCGACAGCTTCGCGAGCAGTCGCCGGTACTCGCCCCGACCATCGCTCATCGGCGCACAGCCGCGCCCACCGCCCGCAGACCCGTACGCCACCGCCCCTGCCATCCCATTCCGCCGACCCCTCGCTGGCGAATCTCCCTCCCCCTCCCCGGCGGGCCCCCTTGGAGCCCCCGGGCTGGGGATCCAATGACAATTTTTCACGCGCGACTCAAGGGGACACGCACCGTTCCGCGCCCCGCCCACCCGCCCCTCTCGGCTCTTCCCACATGGCACGACTCCAGGAGCTGAGCGCGGGGCCCCGTCAGCCCCGAAGGTCGCCGGCGGGCCCGCGGCGGCAAGCGCGCCTGGCGGTGGGCCGCACCGTGGCCCGCAGTCACCGCCCGCCTACCCGCGAAGCCACGGCGACGCAGCAGGGCGAATGCCGCAGCCGCGGCGCCGCAAACCATTGAATGTCCACTCCAGACCACAGCGCTGCCCCTCGCCGACTCTCCCCTGATTTCGTTCCCCAACCCGATTTACGGCATTGCTCTCCACACAACCCCAGAGGCGTGGATCCTGCCCAATCGTTCCCCAAGCCCCCAAAGAGAAAATTGAACTCGTCTCCCCGTTGCCATTCCCGCCGCTGCCATCAGCGCCAGTGCGCCACCAGACACGACCTCCTCACCTGCGCCAGCGCTGCCTGGGCGATCAGCGACGCCAGGAGGGCGGCGAGCGCTGGCAGCGCCCGGTACATCGCCGGACCGCCCGCGCCGCCCCCCGCCCGTGAGCCTCCGGGTGATGGAACGATGGCCGGTCCGAGGTTGTCGCCTTCGGCGCGCGAGGCGGCAGCTGGCGGCGAGCGCTCCGGGAGACGGGGTCGGGTGGGTGGGTGGGGAACAAGGGGAGAGGCGACCGCGGCGCGAGATCGTGGGAAGCGTGCATGAATCCACGACCCCGTTGATGTTGTGAGAGCGCAGACGGTCGGCCATCGTGCAGGTGATGCGCACGTGCGATGATCATGGGCGGATGCTGTCTGGGGGGGAAGGATGGGGAAGCAGGTAACGATTTGGGTCGGATTTGCCGGGCTACGATTTCTGCGACAGCAAAATGGTTCTTTTCTGCGACTGTGGAAGTGCGGTTCCTCTTTGCGACAGCGGCCGGGACTGCTCTTTTCTGCGACGCTGGCCCAGATGTTCTTTTTTGCGACAGCGGACCTGACTGAAAGTATGGCTGTTGGGCATGCAGGCCATCAAGCAGGCCAATCAAGCCCTTGCGAGTCCTTCGCTCACGGTGGCGTCGGCGGTGCTGCTGTTGGGTCAGCGGAGCTGGAAGGCTGAAACAGGAGCGTCGGGGACGCCCAGTGTCCCCCACCGTATCAAAATGGGGTCGCCGCGACCATTCGGCAATGAGCTTCAACTGACAAGGTAGAAGCTTGAACGGAAACTGCCCAAACGGCGAGAGGTGTTGGGCACCTCCTGCCCTGACGGAATGGCCAAAGCATGGGGTATGGGGGCGCTGGACGCCCGCCACCTAACCAACCGGGTAAAACTCGTTTGGCCAGACGCCGCATGGCATCAGTCGAAATGGCTGATGCTCGTTGTGAACTGGCGCCACCTTGCGACCAATTGGTGCCCGCCCAGTATTCTGGTCGTGCCGACTCACTTGAGCCGTTTCCGTAGGTTGTGGGACGCAGTGGCCCCTCGTGCTCGCGTTTTGCGGTTATGCCTAAGCAAATGGTGGTCTTCACACCCTGTTGCTGGCGTTTCGCTCCTTCGGACATTTCGGCTTTTCGGCCCAACGTTTTCGAGACACACTTGCAAGGTGTGTCGATAGGCAAGGGCGATGAATATCGGCGGTCTTGACCGCTGTACGAGATTTCAGTCACCGCAACATATCTGGTGGATATGGCCTGTTTGGGGGGCGCACCTTGGAGGCGCGGAGTGGTGTGTGCATGGGCGGGTTTTGGGGGAGGCGGAGTGTTTGTGGCAACACTCAGCGCCCCAGCTAGGGATGCGGCTTGGGAGCCATGGCCCCGGCTGCCAGCGCCTCCATGGCCCAAAAATTGACGATGCAGGAGGCGGGACCCAGCGCCTTTGAGTGGTCAACGCGGCCAGCCTTTGTCGGCGGTGTTTGGCCCGCCTTTTCCGTCGTGTCTGGGTAGCACCGATCTCCTGTCTCACACAGGCACCGCGCAGGCGCAGCCTTCAGACTGCAAAGTTCGTGGAGGTGCCCTGACGCATTAAGAGGCCCGCCGAGGCCTAAGAAAGGCCTTGCTCGCGCGCAACGCTGAATTGGTTGTGGCCGACAGCCATGGACGTGGCTGCCCAAGTCACACTTCAGTCATCGCCACCGTGGCAAAAAAGAACAACCGGGCAGCGTCGCCATAACGAACCGTCCACGCAGAAAAGTGCAATCCGCTGTCGCACAAAAGAGTAGTTTGGCACGGTAGCAAAAAAGAACAATTCACTGTCGCGAAAACAAACATTTGCCGATTTTTGGCGTGCGGCCATTTAACTTCACTTGCCGTTGCGTCGCTGGTGCTCCGCGCATGAGACTGCTTGTTGGCTCAGCGCATTCCGGCTCTTCCTGCTTCCCGCCTCTTTCCTCGAAACGCACAAAACACTGGTGCAACGCATGTTTGGCAAGTCAGCAACACAAGGCGCTCGGGAAGCAGCGAAGAACGCATGCCAAAATGTGATTGGCCATTCTTCGTTGCCTTGTGGTTGTCTGGTCTCGCTCCTCTGCCTAACTTTCATGTACAATGGCAGCAACAAGGCCTTTTAGGCCCGACAGTAATAGTGATGTGAGTGTTTTTTGGCGACTCCCCAGAAGCGTTGCTGTAGTTTACGAATGCGACGGGGCCCCTTGGGAAATACTGTAAGGGCCTGTCCCCATCTTCCAACTGTCATTGCGTTTCGGCATCCGTCTGAGGGATCTGCAAGCTGGATGCGTTCATTATCGGCCATCAGCGGCGACTTTGAGGTGCGCCAGGGGGTGGCACCAAGCTTATCCTTTGATGGCTTATGCCCTGCTCTGTGCTGGAGCGGGGAGACTCGGTGGACAGTGCAACTGAGGCGTTTTCCTCCCAGACAATTCACATCATTCTTAAAACCCAGCGCAAGATCCACACTGCGTCCGCAAACTCCTCTTTCCCATGCCACCCTTGCGCTCCCAAAACAGCGCACGAATCCAATTCTCCCCTCGAACTAGTTTTGCAACTGACTTCACCTATTTATGCGTTCAACACATGTCAGCTTTTCCAAGCCAACACTGGTGACTTTGTCGCACCCGTACAGCGACAACATCCTCAAACTCGTCATATTCTCCACATGTGCCAAGCCCTCATCTGTGAGCTCGCCGCACCAGCTCAAATCCAAATGCGTCAGAGCGACCAGGCGTCCAACATACTCCAACCCCTCACCCCCGATGTTCATACAATCGGACAAATCCAAAGACGTTAGATTCGGAAACCCCACAATCTGTTGCAAGCCATCGTCTGTGATTCCCACACATTGGCGCAATCCCAGATGCGTGAGGTCCTTCAATGCGCCCAAATGTTCCAAACCGCGCCCCGTAATTTGGTAGCAAGCGCACAACTCAAGGTGCGTGAGGTTCGTCAATGTCCCCACATGTCGCAGCCCTTCATCCGTAACCTTCGTGCAGTTGTACAAAGACAGGAATCTGACCCGCTCCAATTTTCCCACGTGTTCCATTCCCTCGTCGGTTATCTTTTCACATGACTCCAGATCCAAGTGCGTGAGCGTCGTCAACGCCGCCACGAGCATCAAGCCCCCGTCAGTGACATTCGACGGAGAGAAGAAAACCGATGACAGATTCAACACGGTCAGGTTTGGCAGGCTTGTCAAGAGGCCAACGCCGCAATCGGTGACTCCACAACACTGGCACAAGTTCAGGTGGCTCAGGGCCGTCAGCCCTTGCAAGTGCAGCAAGCCCTCGTCAGTGACATTTCGACACGCCTTCAGACTCAAGTGCTGAAGGTTCGTTAGATGGCTCACATAAGCCAATCCCCCATCTGTGATCTGCCCGCAATGTCCCAGGTCCAAGTGTGTCAAGGACGTCAACATGCCGACTTGCTCCAGGGTGTCATCCGTGACTTGACAGCTCATGTCGATCTGCGGCAGCAGGAGGAATGCATCCAATATCGCAACTTCGCTCGCGTCGAGCTCATTGTGTTTCCTGAAACTGAGCCCCTGTATGTTGGCAAACTTGCCCACGATGTTGCTCATCACCAGCTCCACGGGATGGTCTCCTGACAGGCTTAAAGAATTCACCGACTCGGTGGCCCACCGCTCCCAGTGGTGGCACACAAGCCTCGCCGATCTGATCATCTGGTCGCCTCTGCCATCTCCCAGCTTTTGAACCATTCTTTTCACTGCATCCAGCACCTTGAAGGGCAGGTTTCCCCAATCTGCTATCGTTGCACGGTCCTGGCAGCCAACACATGCGGACATGGTCACCATTTGGCCATTTGCTCTTGGCAGATGTCATGCAGCAATCATGCCTGGGACCAGACAACAGTTTATCAATCTGCCACAAAGATTTATCACATTCGCACCAATAGATTAATAGCCTATTGAAGCATCTCCAAGGCCATGCCCAATGTGAGGGCGAGGTAGCGGTTAATGATATGCGACGTATGGCATTTTTATGGTGGGAAGTAAATGTGGTGAACATGGTGTTATGGTTAATGTACATGGAGACAATGGAGACGGGAAGTGAACATCATTGCAATGACTGTTATTTAGCTGATACGCTCATCCTGTAACACATCTGGTTGTGGCCTCGCTTCCTGTGCCTGGGGGCGACTGTGTGTGAGTGTGCGTGAGAGTGTTCAGTCAGCCTGATACTCATGTTTAAGAAACAGAGAGCCCCATCCCCTTCCCATAAAAATGGGTGTGCCAAAAAGGGTGTGCTCTCATAAGCTATCCTATATGAAAACTGGACAAAAATCAGCTATATTCCTGTAGTATTCCCATCCACACCACAATGGATTTTCCAGTTCGCAACAACAAGCCATCTACAGTAACATTTTTAAACAGGCTGCTTTGGCAGAGAGTGCTGTGTCCTGGCCATGTCTTGTGTGCATGCATGATTTGGGCCACTTTCTTTGTCATCAAATGCACAAATTCTTCCCCAAGACAGCGCAGTGTTGCCCCCTCTCCTTTCGTGATATCCAAATATGTCCAATCCATAAGAGTGACGTTGGTAACGCTGCAGATGCCAAATTGACCACAGGCAAGCAGCTGCAAAAGTGGCGCACAGCGCACATCACTGATGGCCTGTTAACCCAAATGACCATTCCCAAGGGAGATTGTAGGTGTGTTGGTGACCCTTGCTCACATAAATGGTTGCAAAACACCAAATGAATAAGAATTTAAATAACCAACCAATCGATTACAAAGTCAACAAAGAAATAAACAGCAAATAAATAATCAAAAGTGCACGTTGACGAGCATGTCATATGACAGGCCACAACAGCAATTGTACATTAGGACAGTTCCAGAAAGTTCCTGGAGCCTTCTGGATGGACAGTTGCTTCCAATGGGCACTGCACATGCAGTCTCGTATACATATTTGCCCAGGAAGAGGGTGCTCATTGTATGAAGTGCTGTCCTTTTCTATATGAGATACGTCAGTTGCTGCTGTGTCAGTAGCTGGCCTTCATCTTGACTGTGGACGACTCTGTGTAACAGGCTGGCAAAGCACCAATACTGCTCTCCACTGGAATGAGAAAGATGCACAGACATCCCTGAGTGCCGAGGGAAAGAAGACGACACAGAGCACAACATACAGCAACAGAACATGCATTCATGTTGGAATGCGACTGAGAGTTGAAAAACAGCTGCTAGAATGGCGCAAGCCACCCACAGCAATGCTTGACTGAAGGAGTGGTGGAGTACAAACGTTTGCTGTTGCTTGAATAGTACACGTGCCATTGGTTGATAAACAAAACACATAACAGCATCAACATCGGCAAGACTACTTCTGTGCAGCTACTAAAGAGTTTTGTGTACCCACAGCATTCGAGCATTGTGCCCTCAGCACAGTACGCCACCAGCTCAATACTTCAAGCACACAACCACATTCTCCCAGCAACAAGTGCCTTACTTGGTGCAGTTGCATTCTCGACTGGCCTCCATTCTCCAAGCAACACTCTGTGTTCTCCCACCCCGCTTCCCACATGCCGATGATGTCACACATCGCGTCATTGGTGCCCATATCTGCCACACAAAGGCCCAGAAAAGCACCTTCAGACAATCGTGGAACCAGTCCAGAATTCAAGCAATGCAGCTTGATACCATGAACCACAGCTGGCCAACATCGCAGGAAAAATCCAAGCTCCTGCTTCTTGCAAGCGATGATTTGCACGGCAGCATTCACCAATTGTTCGGTTGTTCCCCATGAGCCTGCTTGCCCACACCACTGAAAGGGCGAGAAGCAACAAATCCAACACGCCATTTTGCCCTTGACCCTTTTTTAAGGAGGGCAGTAAATCTGGCTAAAGCAGTGTGATTTGATTGCAAATTGAGACCACAGCCATTACTGGTATGTAATACTTGCAGTCACGAACTGAAGATTGTCCCTTAGAAATCTGCTTTGTCTTTCACTTCCCAAAAACAAGCGCACAAAGGAGCAAATTCTGAACAGCCACAAATATTGGGAATACGTGCTCTTTTGTTAGAATGGGGATGGCAGCTGGACTCCTAAATGTGATGCTGCTGAACAACAGAAACAAACATGGAGCATTATTTGAAATGCTGCCCAAGCACCTGCAGTGCGATGATGGCAGCCATCGTATTGATCAGATTGACACCATCTTTACAGGTGTGCAGCTGTCAGACTGACCAGGCTGCAGTCCAGCACTGGTGTGGCCCATGGCACTCTTTCGGCTCACCGTGCCACAATGACTATGGTGCACTAATGCAGCCAACCGCAAATTTGCCCAGTAACTTAATCTTCCGGAGGGATTGTGTGCCCAAAGCTTGAGCTTGGCACGACATCCTGAAAATGGCCGAGAACAAGGTCCCAGAATGGATGGGAAGAACGTACAGTAATGTGTGGACAGGATGCACAGCCAGGATGCTGATCAACTTCACAGAGCACCACAAATCTCCGTTGATTACCTAACCGAAACATTGCTAACGACTTCCCCAGCAACTGTCAGGCGTTGCCGACTAAACTACGCCAGCTCCAAGAGCACACCACGAACGGGAAAGCGTCCCAGAAAGGGCCGTTTGGGCCGTTTGGGCCGTTTGCGCCGCTCGGCCCCGGCAGACGCCTCCCGTGCGGATCAAGGCAGGCCACACGCACTCCACAGCTCAGCGCAGCGTTCCCAACGGCCCCTGCGGCGCGCAGAGGCCCTCCCAAGCGCCGGGGAAAGGAAGGCCCCAATCTCCAACGGCGGGATCTGGCCAGTGGGTCAGTTGACCGAACGGGGTCACCACCGCACGGCGGGGGGTCCGTGGGAGGCGCTGAATCGGCCACCGAGTCCAGGAGCCCATTGCATGGGCTCTTGCCACGCGGGCGGCTTCGCTGTGCCGGGGTCCCATCCCCTCCGAAGAGATCGCCGATCTCTCGCGCGGTACCTTTCGACATCTGTGTACAGTTCGCCCGCGCGGTGTCCCCATCCAAACTCCGGGGAGCCGCAAATTGGGATCGCGCGGCGCGCCTCGGTCGCCTCGGCCGCGCCCAAGAAGCGGAATGCAATCGCTGCGGAAGGAGGAAGGAAGACGGCGCGGGGGCCAAGAGACGCTACTCCAAGAGACTCTTTCCGCGCCATGACAAGATGCTGCAGAGTCTCTGATGCAGCGGGGGGAACGCACAACACGAGCACCAGAAAGAGCAAGGAGGAGGCCACGACGCGCAGGAGACGGAGGAGGACAAAGGGAAGAATCCCGACTCGCCTTGGTCGTCGAAGTCCGCCGATCGCGAGCGCGCATGCCTCCCGGCCGCCCCCGTCGGCAGGCTCTCCCCCAGGCCGCCGGCGCTCCAGCTGCTGCCCGCGCCGAACAGGAACGCCGGCTGGCCGCATCCCGGGGGCCAGCACGGCACGCAGGGCGTGGGGGCGCCACCGCCGGAGGCACCAAACCTGCGACAGCGACGCGATTGGCGGGAGCCGAAGTCAGGAGACGAAAATTGATAGACCGGGCAGGGAGGATCTAACTCGTGGGGGCGAAAGATCGAATCGTCCCGTGAAGGATCGCAGGCTGTTCGTGGGTCCGTCCCGCGACGGACCAACGGGGGCCAACGTCAAGATTCGTGAAAAGAGGGAAACTCCGAGCAGGTCACACACAGGGGACTCCCGCCTTGCACTGGAGGCTCCGCATCACGTTTCCGCGGTATGGAAAGGAGCCTCGCGTGCGCTCGCTTGCAGAGGAGGGCGCAATTGTGGCAGCAGGGCTTTTTCACGTGCGATGCGCAACCGTCGCCTTCGCTCCCCGGCGCAATGCCCCGGCGCCTTGCCGGCGCGATCCCAATCGCTCGCGCACCAGATACACCGAGGAAAGATGAAGCGAAGTCTCCGGCACAAGAAGACGAGGGCGCAACGGGATCGAACGGGGGAAAACGGGCACCAAGCAAAATCGCAGCGTTTGCTCACCGGTCGGCTGGTCCGGCGCCTTGCCGGCGCGATTCCTCCCGGCCCGGCGAGAAAGGGCTCACGGGAGACGCGTCGGGATCCGGCGAGGCCGGCCATCCGGTCGATCCACCGGAGCCCAGCCGCAGGCCCTGCAGCGCCGGCGTCAGCGCATCGACACCTCCGATCGGGATCGCTGTGGGCGAAGCAGGGCCGCCGGCCGCTCGGCGCGCCTTGTGGCGCCTGGGTCGCCCCGGCTGAGCGCCAAAGGTGAAGGAGGACATTTTGGGAGGGCACGGGGCAATGGTCGGGTGAGGTTGGGAAGGAGGGTTTTTTGGCACGGCCCGTCGGGCAAAGGGGCGCGGGGGAGGCGCAAGGAGGGGCGGAAAGGGGGCCTCGGACGGGGTGGCGAGCACGTTAGTCAGGCAGCGGACAATGTGACGGATTGCACCCAACCATGTATACGAGGGAAGACGCTTTTGGGTGAATAGCGCACAGATCGCGCACAGTCCAGCATATCCTTCGAAGGAATTGTACAGGATGTGGATTGATTCGAAGGATCCCTAGAAGAGATCTGGGGGGTTGTACAGGATCTGGGGGGTGATTTGTACCGCGGTGCTTGCGGGGGGGGCGCGACGCGCAAGAAGGGTCCGAGGGCAGATTCCTGCCGCCATCGGGTTGCGGATTGACGGAAGATCCGTGCCTTTGCTTGCGGAGGTGAGGATGGGGCGGGGTTGTCCGCGGCCCGCGGGCCAGGTCCAACGTTGGAGCGGTGGCCAAATTGTCTGCTGAAGTGCTGCGCGTTTCGGAAGTACCGCTCGGTGGTTCGGTGCACACGGAGCGCTGGCAAAAAGTTACCCGCTTCGCACCGGCGGAAGCCGTGCAACAGGAGTGATAACATGATTGATTTGTGTGACATGCTTGTTCGCGCCATCTTGCAACAAATCTCCCCAGGCGGGGGGAACAGGCAGCCAAAGATGTCACTACAAAGTGTATCCCGAACATGTACGCGCAATGTAGCGTGTGGCGACCCCTATCTATTCCTCATTTCACCATCTCCCTTTTCACCAAATGGCTATTCACCAAGGTGCATATCTCCCACACGTTCTCCCACAAAGTAGGGTGCAAATATTCTGTGTCGTCACAACCTGCAATGTTCTCTCACCTTCAATGAGCATTACAGCTGTAGTTTTGTTCAATGTTCTTTTCATAATGTTCGTTTTTTACCGTTTCAATGAATGGCTCCGGATCAAACTTCCGCTTTGTCCTATCCATGGTTTTAAACGCAGTTGCTGGACGAGGATTTCTGCATGTGGCGCACACACAGCGGGAGGGCCATCGCGTCGATTGTCGCCTTGGAGCGACAACAATCATGGTTGAAGAATCGACCATGCGGGAAATGGCCAAGATATGTAATCTCAGCGCAGATACGATTTCTTGTCAATTAACACACGAAGAGCAAGTGAATGCACTCGAAATCTCAGAGTGCTAGTCCACAATCAATTGACTGACCACGTCGCTAATATCTTGGACAAAGCCATAAGTTGTGGGGGAGACACAGTACCATGATAGCGAACATGGTACAGGCGCTGCAAAGAACAGCGGTCCATTCTGGCCGTCGTCCCCGGAGATAGCGCAGTAAGGTCACCCTCAAACGGGCAGCTGAGCCATGTCGACAGCCTCAGCACCACGTCAGTTGAGGGTGCGCTCAACGAACAAGGTTTGACCCTCGCGCAAACTGGCTCTTCATGAAGAACTGCTTGTCGCGAAGATGCCAACGGCTCAAGATAGCAGCGACGGCAAGGGCAAGCTTGAAGCGGGCAGCAAACGTCCAACTGCCAGACAGCCATGCAAATACGCTTGTAGAACCTCTCACAGCTGCCGCTCTGAGCGCCCCAACCGGTAGCAACTCCTCCTCAACGGTCGGCGAAGTCAAAACGGAGGTCAGGTCCACGGGTCAGGGCTGGCTCGTCCACAGCACGTCGGCGTATGACACGGAAGACCCTGCTCTCCGCCTCGACAAGGCTGTGCAACGACGAAGCTTGGCATGCTCTCGTCGGCAACTAGACCACGCTGGAGGTGCGTGTCTCTAAAGACAAGGAAACGCCTTGAAAACAAGGCCCAAACTGGCCGCGACCTTCGAAAAGGTCGAGCGCTATCGCGCTCAGGCCGTGCCGAACGTTGCGCCCACGGCCAGGGGGGCCAGGCAGCCAGGCCGAGCGCCTAGACCGCCGTGCGAGACACACATGGACCCCGCGCAAATGTTGTTACAGCTGCCATGTCGGGTACAACAATTGAGAGTTCCCCCAGCGTTGTCCGCACCCCTCTGGCAAAATACCTCCATTCCTAAGAGATGCTCTTTTGATACCCGGAATCTTTCTGCCACGCCCACCGCTTCACTACAACTCGACCCAGGACGCCCCACAACCCACAATCAGCCACCACGTGGTGCCCCAAGGACCACATTCCCACCAAACAACCACACTTCCCGCAGTCAGCAACCACGTTATGCCCCACGGGGCATATTCCCATCAAACAACCATGTGGCGCCTCCACGCACCTCTCCTGGCTCCGTCCCGCCACGGTCCACGGCAGGCCGCCAGGCGGGCAGCCCTGAGCAAATGCACGCGCCCAGTGGCAACCTGGGTGCTCCTTTGTACTTCAAGGTATATTCGGGGCATGTTTGACTCATGTGTCTCAGTGTGATGCGCGACCAAGTATTGACGTTGAGCTTAGCATCTTTACAGTTTACGTGAAACGGCCGGCTGCTCCCGCCCTTTTGGGGGCAATCAACCGCACTCCCACCGGAAGTTCCAATGAAATCCCATGACTACAAATACACTAATGTACAAGAAGAGAGATCCGGAACTCCGGCATGACAGTTTTGCCTTTTTGGTTTGCGTGTCCCCTATGCTCAGGCAAAGGAAACGATCCATTGTTCAAAAAAAAAATATTTGCAAAACTGGGCCGTGGCGGGGGGAGTTCGGCAACAAAAAAAGATGACGATCACTGGTGCGCGTCCCCTTTGGCTCCTTCGTCAGTGAGTCCAGAAACCGGAACACAAAATCCAGGTCCAAGCTGGTTGTCCAGTAACCACTGCACGTCCTCCCGCGTGATACTCAGTTGCCAAGTTCCATTTGTCCCATAGTATTAAGAGAGGCGCCGTCTCCCGTTCACGTCCCAATCCGGCGCTTCCCACCCTGCGCCGTCCTAAACGTAGACGCTTTAACTACGCTAACGTTGCTTACATGAAACGGCCGGCTGCTCCCGCCCTTTTGGGGGCAATCAGCCGCACTCCCACCGGAAGTCCCAATGAAATCCCATGACTACAAATACACTAATTATCAGATTATGAACGGTCAGGACATTTATTACTAGAATATGAAGTGTATGGGTACAATGACAGTACACTAAGGCACCGGTGTGGGTGCCATGACATGGATTCTTTCCGCACCGGTGGCCCGCGAGCTTACCACCGTACTTATGTGGTGAGTGCGGTGTAGTAATGATCCTTTCTCGCGCAAGCAAACTGTGCCCGCGACCCGACCCCGCGACCTCGGCCGACCTGGCCGGCGGAGCCCGCGAGCTCGCCTGTCCCCGAGCATACCGCCACGAGCGCCGTGCTCAGCACACGCAGTCCGACGATTTGGACCCGGCGGAGGCGGAGCATCGAGCGGCTATCCACCACGCGCATCGGAGGCCCCCTCGCGACGGCGGGGGCCCGAAGGGAGGCCGAAACTAATGTACAAGAAGAGAAATCCGGAACTCCGGCATGATAGTTTTGCCTTCCAAATCAAAACGATCTGGCTCTTACTCAAACAAATGCCCGAGGGAGGATTGCAGGCGCTATGGGCCAGCGCGCATCCAGCCAAAGAACTTGAAGTCGGAGGCTATGGTACGGTGCGCCATGGCGATGTAGCGCTGAATCATGTCGGACTTCAGACTCCAGCCACCCCAATCAGCAATGTGCCAAATGCCAACGCCCAGAGAGAAAGCTGATGTGGTGCCACCTTTCCACAAGGAGTGATGAGTCAAGTCTGCCACATCGATGCCGCGAATGATAGATGCAGCCTGCCAGTACCAGCGCTCCACCGACGTCAAAGTGGGGGCATGGCCGTCCGCGGGCAGCGCCCAGAAAGAAGACTCTTGGGACCGGCGAGGGTGTCCTGCCGCCACCCAGGCCGCGTCCCGTGCGCGGCGCCAGTCGGAAACCAGATGCAGCAGGGGTAGGCAGCCCTGTGCATCGAATTGGCGGCGGCGGAATTCGAGGTGAGACACTTGCTAGCGTTTTCTTTGACGCTCCACGAATTCCAGCGAGGTGTCCAGCACAAGGAAGTTGCAGTCGCGCACGGAGTAGGCTGAGTCTGCGCGTGAGAAGAAGATGAAGCCAAGAATTATGACCAGAATTTCTCGGATCTTGGGTGGGGGCTGGGGGGTGCCGGCGTAGCTGAGCAGCTCCTCAATTGCATCCGCTGGAAAAGCGCGGACCTGTGTGGTGTATTGGGTCTCGGGGGCTCGGTTTTTCCAGGCGCGGATCAAGGCCTTGGTGAGCCAGTCGGAGGCGCAGAAATCGAAGCCTCTCTGACGATGAATTGTGCCGATGGCGGCAAGGTACTGGGGGGCGGAGGTGGGGCGGATCGATCCCTCCGCCTCCAGATAGACGAGATAAGCGTAGACCACTGCACGCAAAGTCGGGAGGGCCGTCCAGCCAACGGGGGTGTAGAAAGCGGCAAATTTAGTAAACTTGCGGGCCACTCCTGACTGCGAGGATGGCCATTGAGAATCTTGCAGAGCGGTGATGGCTGAATCTGTCTGCAAGGCTGTTAGCTCTGGTCAGTCGAATTGGGGGCCCCCAGGTGTGCCGATCCGGAAAGCGCCCACTCTCCAGCGGGGGGCCCCCACTGGGGTCTGGCCACCCAGGCGACCTGGTAGGAAGGTGTCTGGCGCTGGGGGGAAAATCACGATGTCGGTCGCCATCCGTTGCAATCGGGGGAACCAACGGGCGCTCGGCCAGTAAGGGGCCACCACCGTGCATTGAACTTGGGGGCGTTCGGCGAGGACACTGATTAGGCGAGGAAGGAGCGTCCAGGGTGGGTTCGCCCAATTGTTCTCTGTGCTCTAGTGCGCAAGGGGTTGGGCCAGCGTGTCTATGCCCTCCGTATTCGGCGACCACAGGGCAGAATTGAAACGCTCCACCTGCCGATTCTTGAGCGTTGCAAAGCGGTCCACTGTATGGGGGCCCCACCTGCGGTCCAAGATTCGGAAGAGCCGGGGGTGGAGGCGC